GGAGCTAGGCTCCCGATAGGCTCCTCTCACAGTCCGCCCTGAAGACCGGTGTAGCATGAAAATCTGTCTCCTATGAGGATCTGTCCCCCCTCGACGTATCTGCGCAAGTGCCGGAGATCGCCGATCGGCTGCTAATGCCGGAAACTGGCACATGCGCAGATACGTCGAGGGGGACAGATCCTCATAGGAGACAGATTTTTATGCTACACCGGAACGGCGCGGGAACACGGCGAGAGGAACGCGCGGAGCAAAGGTAAGTGAATTGACACAGGGGGGACTTGGGGACTTAATATGGGGGATGAATTAATATGGGGGATGAATTACTATATGGGGGATGAATTACTATAGGGGGGATGAATTACTATAGGGGGGATGAATTACTATATGGGGGGATGAATCTCTATATGGGGGATGAATTACTATATGGGGGATGAATTACTATGGGGGATGAATTACTATATGGGGGATGAATTACTATATGGGGGATGAATTACTATATGGGGGATGAATTACTATGCTTACTATGGGGGAATATTACTATACTTACTATGGATGACACATACCATCATTCATCTACTCTTGGTCCGGCCCCCGGGTCCAATATATGAACCCCATTGCGGCCCTCAAGTCAAAAAGTTTGCCCACCCCTGCTCTAGACAAAAACAAATATTTAAAGTGCAAATTATCATTTCAGAAAAAATTAAAACGTGAACACCATATACCCTTCTTCACTCATCCCCCAGTCCCTGCATTACTTACCTCAATGGGTGGTGATGTAGTTACACAGGCCTAGACAGATCCTTTTCTTGTGAGTGCAATTCTTTACCACCATTAAAATGTTTATTTTAATACTACACCAAGATGGCGCTTGTTTTTCCTCTTTTTTGGTTCATTCACACTAATGCTGATATAGCCTGCGATGAAATTGAGTTTGACACCCCTGCTTTAACCTATGCAGTGCAGGGGGCATCCCCACTTCAAGGGTACAAGGAAGGAAGTTTGTTTTCTCCAGAGAAAGGCTTTCAAGGTTACCAATTATTAAGACCAAAGAAGGTGCGCACACACGTACAGGACTGATCCATCATAGGTTTTTCATCTCATCTTTCCTCTGATGGCCATAACGTTTACTAGAAGCTTGGATCAACTTTTGACTTCCAGTTCAAAGACCTCAGACATGCAAGTGCACTCTGCATCTTATAAGAGCAATGAAGAGCAGAAGATCCTTCACAGGAGCACCTGATGAAGAGTTGTTTACTCTGGAAAGAACTCAGCATGAGGTCAGTGCCTGACAATGACGTAAATCAAATTCCCAGAGAGGTTTAAAGTGAATCTGCCACAAATTAAGCCAAATCACAGTGTTATAGAACAGACTGGAACAACACAGGAATCTCATGGTTTAGATTCAAGCTTTGCTGTCGCATGAACAGCTGTTGGAAAGCCATGATTTTGGCAACTTTTTTTTCAAAAGAAGAGTACGAGGTTTAGTCAAAGAGCACAATATAGTCAACAGTATGTAGATACCAATCCAAAATGATTGAGTTCAGGTGCCTCCAGTGTAGAGTACTGTTAGGCTCCATGTACACTGCAGCTGATAAACTCATGTTTAGGAGCTTTTCTGTGTTTTTTTCAGCAGCCCCTGAACTCTCCCTGATGTTTTCCTATGTGTCCATGTACACATCTTCATCTACAGGTTGTTGAGTTTACAGTCATTGGTGAAGACCCTTTTCTGTTTCACCATGACTGTGCCCCTGTGCACAAAGCCAGCTCCATGAAGACACACAATGGCGATGATGCACCATAAATTCAACATGCATTAAAGAAAAAAACAACACATTAATGCACATAGAATTGAACTGCGCCTTAAGCGTCATTAACCCCCCCTGGCGGTATTCCTGAGTGTAGCTCGGGGTAAAGTTTCAGCACCACAAGCGGTAACCTCGAGCTACACTCGGGAATACACTGCAGCGTTGCTCCGGGATCCCTCCAGCACTCACCTTGTCCTTCACTCCCGCGATGTCCTCCCTGCAGCGTCCCCGGCCATCTCCTCCGGCCGATGCCGGTATCAGTCTTCCGGGTTCCGTTCTCTGCGAGCTTCGGGATGTACGGGGAAGGGAACCAGCGGGAATTTTAAAAATTTTAGCATTCACTCAATACACTAAAGTCTGATTGTATTACATTCCTGTATCAAACCATTTCACATACATTGTGTCCAGAGTGCTTTGTCCGGCGCCCTGCCTGCATTTTTACTGTTCTTTCTGCCTGGAAACTGAGAAACGTCCATGGCGTCCAAAAAGCATCCCTTTAGGTCAGACGCGGTTTTAGACCGGCTAGAGAACAGCGATAGTAAATCAGAACCACTTGCAGAATTGAGTGATAATGATTGGTGGGGGAAATTCCTCATCAGACACTGAAAACGATTCTGCGACTGAGCTCAGCGATGTGCGAACTTGGCGCTCTATTTCACATTTCATGTTTTTGGTTTGATTATATTATTGAATTAAAATTATATTATTTTTTATAATTTATTATATTATAATTTATGATTTCAGTGTTTTTAGTTTGATTACATTATTGAATAAAATTATTATATTATTTTGTATAATTATATTATAATTTCAGTGTTTTTGGTTTGATTACATTATTGAATTAAATGTATTATTATATCATTTATGATTATTTATTATATTATAAATTATAATTTTGTGTTTCAAATTTTATCATCCCCGGGATGTTTCCTAGACTCTTGTTCGGACAGATTTCAGTGAGTTATTCCTAAGAATTACAGGCCTACAATAAAAAAAACGACATATTTCCATTGAAAACAATGTACCGCTTTGAGCACAGAAATACTGACATAAACAGACCGCTAGGGAGGTTAAAGGGTAAGTTTGCCTTGTAAAGAAAGTAATAAAAATACACATTTTAAAAAAAAAAAAAAGAAAAAAGTAAATTTTTTTTTTCACTTGGGAGTCTGCAAAATATTGCACCCATGATCAGTGGATTGTAGGAGCAATGCACAGGGATCGTTCAGACTCTTCCTCCAGATCTATATTGATACGGAAGTACAGGCTTTCATTTGGAGAACTGGAGCAATGAACTAAAAGTACGAAGATCTTCACACTTCCAGCCCCAGATCCAATCGCTGACAAAATCATGTAGACTATACCTCCGCAACATCTCCAAGATATGACCGTTCCTAACCTCGGAAACCATTAAGCTACTTATTCACTCCCTTGTCATATCACGCCTCGACTATTATAACTCCCTCCTCATTGGCCGACCTCATCGCAGGCTATCCCCCCTTCAGTCTATCATGAACGCTGCTGCCAGACTCATCCACCTTACTAACCGATCTGTATCTGCCATCCCTCCACTCAGTGTCCTCCACCCCTCTCTGTCAATCCCTCCACTGGCCTCCACCCCTCTCTGCCAATCCCTCCACTGGCTCCCAGTTGCCCAACGGATAAAATTCAAAACACTAACAATGACATACAAAGCCATCCACAACACTGCCCCAATTTGCATAACCAAACGTATCTCTAAACATCACCCAAACCGTACTCTCCGCTCCTCGCAAGACCTCCTACTCTCTAGCTCCCTTATCTCCTCCCCCCATGCTCGTCTCCAAGACTTTTCCAGGGCGTCACTCATCCTCTGGAACTCCCTACCCCAATCTATCAGACTATTGCCTACTCTGCTCACTTTTAGGCGATCTCTGAAAACCGATCTCTTCAGGGAAGCCTATCCTGCCCTCTGCTAATAATGGAATCTTCTACTCTTCCAACCAGTCCATCCCCCCCAGTTATTACCTTTTGTATCACTAACCCCTCCTCCTAGATTGTAAGCTCCAAGGATCAGGGCCCTCCTATCCCTCTTGTATTGAACTGTATTGTTGCTGTATTATCTCCCGTTATATTGTAAAGTGCTGAGCAAACCGTTGGCGCCATAAATCCTGTATAATAATAAAAATAATAACACTTCAATTCGACTTCGACTAAATGCTCATCTGCCAATTTCAAAAGCGACAGCTGCTCGGGGCGGTGCGATGATGGTACTTTTGTTGTGGGGAAGAGGGGGGTCATTTGCACCATGTTACACCCTAAATAATGGTATAACATCTGACATGATGCAGAAGATGAAGTCTTTAAAAAATGGGCACAGCATGGGTAATCCTGAACCCTTCTGAACCCTCAGCAAAAGGTTTTCCATTTTCTATCAATCTCAACAGATCAACTTTAATTTCATTTATACAGAGCTGGAGGATCTGCTAATGAGCTGAGTTTTACTGCAGGGTGGCTTTTGTTATGCACAGCTATATTGTAAAATGTACAGTATTATCCAAGGTGAAAAGGATCCAACGCTGATGAGCCATCTTTTGAAAGTTTTTTTATGCAAAGCCTTTATTCGGCTCTATAAAGCTATGATAGGACATTGGTGATGCCGACAGAAGCAAGGACAGGAAAGAGAAAAGCATTTACAGATATAAAGTGGCCATTAGAACCATTTCTCTCAATAGATCTCTGCATTATCGCACTGTTGGATGGAGGTTCATTGTAAAGGGCAACTTCAGCCACATATCTAAATAGACAGGAATACATATTTATACACGTGTGTCTTCTTCCGGTACATTGCAGTATGTACATTATGCTTACAAATCATTTGCCATATACACGGTATAAATGTGTATGTATGTAGAATGAAAAAAATGTACATGTGTGTGTGTGTTTTTTTTAACCACTTCCCGTCCGACCCATGTATATAAACAACCGGACAGGAGCAGTGCAGGAGCGGGTGGCCGTTTATAAACGTCCTTCCTCATTCCCTGCCCAGGAGCGCGAGCACCGCGATCCGATGCCTGCTGTGTCCGGAGGACACCGCGGAACGCCGATCGCTGTACGGGACCTCTATAAACAGCTGAAACAGGAGCAGTGCCGGGGCGAGTGGCCGTTTATAAACATCCTCCCTGCTCATACGTGCTCTCTGTGTGAGGTCCCGATCATGTGATCACTGATTGGCCAATCAGTGATCACATGAAGAGTAGTAAACAAGATGTCACTTGCTGACATCATTGCTTACTACGTGTGAAATCCATGAATGATCACAGAGATCACATGATTTTGGACTTAGATGCTGTATGGATTGGACAGCGCTGTTTATTGTGATGTGCCTTTGTTTTATATGTCCATTGTAAGTATGATACCTACTTTTTATCCTTTTAATCACCTCCCGTCTGGCTGTTGTATATAAACGGCCGGACGGTGGCAGTGCAGGGTCGGGTGGCCGTTTATAAATGGTCTCCCCGCACCCTGCTTGTGTGCAATCCCTGGGAGCGTGCAGCACCGCGATCCGGTGCCCGCTGTGTCCTCCGGACACAGTGGAACACCGATCGTCGGATGGGACCATCCCAATCGTGATCACTGAATGGCCAATCAGTGATCACATGAAGAGTAGTAAGCAAGATGTCACTTCTGACATCATTGCTTACTATGTGTGAAATTCATGAATGATCACAGAGATCACATGGTACAGGGCTATTCACAACAGCCTTGTACCATGTGACAAGCTGTGACCAATCACAGCTCTCAGTATTTCTCAGTGACAGTATGTAAAAGAAAAATAAAATAGAAATATAAAAAAATTTAAAAAAAAATGTAAAAAAAAAACATTTAGAAAAATAATTTTTGGTTATAAACTAATTTGGGTTATTTTTTTTACTAAAAAGATAACTGAATACATTTTGGCCAAGATTTATGAAGAAAGATTATTTGCAAAATTTTATAAGAAAAACACTTTTTTTCCAAAATGTTTGGACTTTTTAATTCATATAGCAAAAAAAAATAAAATTCCCAGCGGTGAATAAATACCACCAAAATAAAGTTTTATCTGTCTCAAAAAAATGCTAAAAAATTCACACAGCGGAACACCAATCGCTGTACGGGAGCTCTGTGTGAGGTCCCAATCATGTGATCACTGATTGGCCAATTAGTGATCACATGAATAGTAGTAAACAAGATGTCACTTCCTGACATCATTGCTTACTACGTGTGAAATCCATGAATGATCACAGAGATCACATGGTACAGGGCTATTCACAACAGCCTTGTACCATGTGACAAGCTGTGACCAATCACAGCTCACTCAGTACTTCTCAATGGCTGCAAGAATGCAGCCACAGAGAAGGAGTAATGATTAATTTTACAGCCTTTATGGGTATAAAAGCAATCAGTGTAAGAAAAGGAAAAAAAAAAATCTTCGTCACAATGGCGACACTGCACTGCTAGGGTGACAGTATGTAAAAGAAAAATAAAATAAATAATAGTATAAAAGAAATAAAATAAAAAAAAAAATTTAGAAAAATAATTTTTGGTTATAAACTAATTTGGGTTATTATTTTTTTACTAAAAAGATAGCTGAATACATTTTGGCCAAGATTTATGAAGAAAGATTATTTGCTAAATTTTATAAGAAAAACACTTTTTTTCAAAATATTTGGACTTTTTAATTTATATAGCAAAAAAAATAAAAATCCCAGTGGTGAATAAATACCACCAAAATAAAGTTTTAGCTGTCTCAAAAAAATGCTAAAAATTCATGTGTACAGTGTTGCATGACCGCGCAATTGTCATTCAAAATGTGATAGCGCTGAAAGCTGAAAATTGGCCTGGACAGGAAGGGGGGGGGAAAGTGTCCGGACTGGAAGGGGGGGGGGGAAGTGTCCGGACTGGAAGGGGGGGAAAGGGTCCGGACTGGAAGGGGGGGGAAAGCGTCCGGACTGGAAGGGGGGGAAAGCGTCCGGACTGGAAGGGGGGGAAAGCGTCCGGACTGGAAGAGGGGTGAAAGCGTCCGGACTGGAAGGGGGGTGAAAGCGTCCGGACTGGAAGGGGGGTGAAAGCGTCCGGACTGGAAGGGGGGTGAAAGCGTCCGGACTGGAAGGGGGGTGAAAGCGTCCGGACTGGAAGGGGGGTGAAAGCGTCCGGACTGGAAGGGGGGTGAAAAAGCGTCCGGACTGGAAGGGGGGTGAAAGCGTCCGGACTGGAAGGGGGGTGAAAGCGTCCGGACTGGAAGGGGGGTGAAAGCGTCCGGACTGGAAGGGGGGTGAAAGCGTCCGGACTGGAAGGGGGGTGAAAGCGTCCGGACTGGAAGGGGGGTGAAAGCGTCCGGACTGGAAGGGGGGTGAAAGCGTCCGGACTGGAAGGGGGGTGAAAGCGTCCGGACTGGAAGGGGGGTGAAAGCGTCCGGACTGGAAGGGGGGTGAAAGCGTCCGGACTGGAAGGGGGGTGAAAGCGTCCGGACTGGAAGGGGGGTGAAAGCGTCCGGACTGGAAGGGGGGTGAAAGCGTCCGGGACTGGAAGGGGGGTGAAAAGCGTCCGGACTGGAAGGGGGGTGAAAGCGTCCGGACTGGAAGGGGGGTGAAAGCGTCCGGACTGGAAGGGGGGTGAAAGCGTCCGGACTGGAAGGGGGGTGAAAGCGTCCGGACTGGAAGGGGGGTGAAAGCGTCCGGACTGGAAGGGGGGTGAAAGCGTCCGGGCTGGAAGGGGGGGAAAGCGTCCCGGACAGAAAGGGGGTGAAAGCGTCCGGGCTGGAAGGGGGGTGAAAGCGTCCGGACTGGAAGGGGGGTGAAAGCGTCCGGACTGGAAGGGGTTAACAGCAAACTGTGAAAAACACATCCGCCATTAAACATAAACCATCTCCTAAGGTATGTGAACATATGATACACTCAACGTCCAATAAAGATGACAGTCTCTCTCTCTCTCTCTCTCTCTCTCTCTCTCTCTCTCTCTCTCTCTCTCTCTCCCAATCTTAAGGTGCCAGAAAATTAATTCTTTAATCTTGGCCATCTGCTCAAAATATAAGTGGATTGCTCACTGTAATGGAATCGGACCCCGACTGCACTTGGGTATTTCCGTTAGACTCCCGCTTCCCCGTCCGATCACAGATCCTTGGACGCCACTATTGAAGTAAACCAGGAAATAGACTGCTTTATTTTAACACAGATACAAGATATATACATTCAAGGGAACAATTCTCCCCTCCCTGCATAATGACACAGGGCGGGGCAAACCAAATCTAGCAACAAGAAACGCATCAGCAGACACCCCCCACCAAGCCAATACACAAACACATACATCCCATAATAGTTTACTCCCAAGCAAGACACACAATAGAACAATGGGATGCAGCCATATAACACCAAACAATCAACAACCCCACCTATCTCCTAGACATGTCTACACAATATCAGAACATTTCACCCTGCACCCCTAACAGGCACAGGGTGACTTACACATAAGAGGGATATGGGGAGCTGAGACAGGGGTCTCCCCACCCCTCCAAAGTGAGCTGTGTTCTATGGGCCCCCCACCCAAAGTCACTCCCGTCACACTCACTCACCAGACATTTATGACCCCAGTTACGGTGGTCAAAAAGCATTTGTATCGGTAGATATATCCAAGAATCAGCCCCCAATCACAGCGGTCATATGATCACCGATCCTTTCCGCTTCCCCGGGGGCATTAAGAACTTTTCAAAGGGACGCACAGGACAGGCAGGAAGGAGTTAAACAATAGAAAGTCGGAGCTTTCCTTAAAAATGACCCAGTTGTGTATTTTTTTTTAATGTCAAGAATTTATTCCCGCAGACTTGTGAAGTTACTGACAGGTCCACTTGATTCGCAGTGGGTGAACAGACAGCAGATTTGGGGATTTTTAAAGAAATCTATAATTTAAGTTTTGTCTGGAGTGTATAAAACATTCAAACTGTCTAAAACATCAGATTTGCAGTGCAGTCGGAGGAACCAACGTCTTGTTAGCAGAGCTGTCTGCCCCTTTCATATCAGGCCTTGTCATAACCTTCCCGTCTGGAAGTATTAAAGTGTTCGGATCCTTTGGTCCCGGCAGATATTTAATTACCGGCGAGGCGTACAGTGACAGTTCCCAGGGTGATTGATAGGAGAACTCCAAGTAATGTATTTAGCTGCATCTGTGCCACAGCTTGTAATGTTTGTGTTTAAAGTCTATGTGCTCTCCGTCATAACCTCACCGTGACCGTTTGCACCGTATGTACCGGCGGTGGTCACATTTCTTGATACAGGGGGCATTACACAAGAGATGGTCAGAGACTGCAGACAGGAAACAAGAGATGGTCAGAGACTGCAGACAGGATACAAGAGATGGTCAGAGACTGCAGACATGATACAAGAGATGGTCAGAGACTGCAGACAGGATACCAGAGACGGCCTGAGACTGCAGACACGATACCAGAGACGGTCTGAGACTGCAGACACGATACCAGAGACGGTCTGAGACTGCAGACACGATACCAGAGACGGTCTGAGACTGCAGACACAATACCAGAGACGGTCTGAGACTGCAGACACGATACCAGAGACGGTCTGAGACTGCAGACACGATACCAGAGACGGTCTGAGACTGCAGACACGATACCAGAGACGGTCTGAGACTGCAGACAGGATACAAGAGATGGTCTGAGACTGCAGACAGGATACAAGAGATGGTCAGAGACTGCAGGCACGATACAAGAGATGGTCAGAGACTGCAGGCAGGATACAAGAGATGGTCTGAGACTGCAGGCAGGATACAAGAGATGGTCAGAGACAGCAGACAGGATACAAGAGATGGTCAGAGACAGCAGACAGGATACAAGAGATGGTCAGAGACTGCAGACAGGATACAAGAGATGGTCAGAGACTGCAGACAGGATACAAGAGATGGTCAGAGACTGCAGACAGGATACAAGAGATGGTCAGAGACTGCAGACACGATACAAGAGATGGTCAGAGACTGCAGACACGATACAAGAGATGGTCAGAGACTGCAGACACGATACAAGAGATGGTCAGAGACTTCAGGCAGGATACAAGAAATGGTCAAAGACTGCAGCATGATACAAGAGATGGTCAAAGACTGCAGGCAGGATACAAGAGATGGTCAGAGACTGCAGACAGGATACAAGAGATGGTCTGAGACTGCAGACACGATACAAGAGATGGTCAGAGACTGCAGGCAGGATACAAGAGATGGTCAGAGATTGCAGACATGATACAAGAGATGGTCAGAGACTGGGGACATGATACAAGAGATGGTCAGAGACTGCTGACATGATACAAGAGATGGTCAGAGACTGCTGACATGATACAAGAGATGGTCAGAGACTACGGACATGATACAGGAGATGGTCAGAGACTGCAGGCATGATACAAGAAATGGTAAAAGACAGTGGACATAGTACAAGAGATCGAAAGAGACTTCAGACACGATACATGAGATGTTCAGAGACTGCAGATACGATACAAGAGATGGTCAGAGACTGCAGACACGATACAATAGATGGTCAGAGACTGCCGACATGATACAAGAGATGGTCAGAGACTGCAGACACGATACAAGAGATGGTCAGAGACTGCAGACACGATACAAGAGATGGTCAGAGACTGCAAGATATGATACAAGAGATGGTCAGAGACTGCAAGATATGATACAAGAGATGGTCAGAGACTGGGGACATGCTATAGGAGTTGTTGGAGACATGCTTCAGGAAAATGAAGACATTTTATATGAGGCTGATATACAGTATCTCCTAGAAGTGAGTCCCCCCCCCCCCCCCCCCCCCTCACATTTTTGTAAATATTTAATTTCTATCTTTTCATGTGACAACAGTGAAGAAATGACACTTTGCTACACCTGAAGAAGCCTCAAGGCACGCCTGAAGAAGCCTCAAGGCACGCCTGAAGAAGCCTCAAGGCACGCCTGAAGAAGCCTCAAGGCACGCCTGAAGAAGCCTCAAGGCACGCCTGAAGAAGCCTCAAGGCACGCCTGAAGAAGCCTCAAGGCAAAGAAGCCTCAAGGCACACCTGAAGAAGCCTCAAGGCACCCTGGTTGAAAAAGGCTGACCTAGAGGACTAGACACACCATACACAATATAATAATAATGAGTTATATTTTGTGGCCCGTCTAGTTACATAGTTAGTCTGGCTGAAAAAAGACAAAAGTCCATCCAGTTCAACCATAGGAAAAAAAAAAAAAAGTTATAATCCTACACCCACAGTTGATCCAGAGGAACAAACAGTACTTAGTTTAGAATTTTCTTTTTTTTTTTTTTCCTGGCCAATCCTGTTCTATACTGGTGGAATCTGCATCAAAGAAAGACGTAAAAAGCTGAGTCCTAATCATGTTTATTGTTTAAATCTCGGGGGAGATCACCTGCTTTCTTCTTTTACTGTCGGGAACGCTCCTGGGAAGGCTTATAATGATCAGCTTTCACAAGAAGACTCCCTGGAGCGGGCGATAACAACTCATCCATATGTATATAATGCCGGCGGCGAGAGTCATAGAAGTAAAAAAATACCAAAACAAAAAAAACAAAACAGGTGATATCAGCATGGTACTTCACTAAAAGAATAAACCCGATGGAGCACAGCTGGACTGATAAGAAAGCTGCAGGTAGCAGAAGTGCAGCAGTTAACATAGACCCAGCTTCATGCGAAGTGCAGCACGCCAAGTAATTTGTCAGTCAACATACTATAGGACGGCACCATCTTTGTTCAGGCATCATCCAGGGTCACAATTTACTTCCTGGACTGAGCTGATGACAGTGAACATACTATAGGACGGCACCAACGTAAACGTGCAGCGCTAAAATGGATTTGATGAATATCTGTATACTCTTCAGAATAAAGTGCTTAATAATACCTGAAGAAAGTGCTTAATAGCCAGAGAAAAATGCTAAATAACTTAATACCATAAGTATTAATAATAAATAATCCAAATAATGAATAAATGGTTATTGTCCAGAATGGAATTAAGAGATATAAAAGTCCCAATAGAGATCAGTAATCCGGATATAAATGAATCTTGTAATCCCAGTGGTATACAACCAAATATTCCGGTGACGTGTGGGATATAGTAAAAATGCACACTCACCAGATGCGCTTTTAATTCTGCAGTGTAATAATATATTGTAATCAGCCAGAGGTCCCCTCTAAGGTGGGATGGAGTACAGCCTGGAATGAATAACCTTCCTCTGGAGTCTGGGGTAGCAAGAGTCAGCCAGAGGTCCCCTTTAAGGTGTCACCAGGTGTTTGCCTCAATAATACATTTTTTTCCCCTGAACGGAAATATTCACATTTATAATTTTGTTTGTTAAAGTGACATTAAAGCTTCAGGTTTTTATTTTCATTAAAATAAACATGTTGCTTTAAAAAAGCCTGGATTCTTTCGTAGATACACAGAATAGAACTGCATACTAACATTTATAGGTAAAGTTGATCCAGGGAATATCTGATTGCCTCTCGGGGGGATCAGGAAGGATTTTTTTTTCCCAGCAGTAGTAAATTGGATCGTGCTTTGCTGGGTTTTTTTGGGGTGTTTTTGCCTTCCTCTGGATCAACTGTGGGTATAGGAATGTGTATACAGGACTGTATTATATTTTTTTCTATTTTATTGGTTGAATTAGATGGACTTTTTTTTTTTTTTTTTCAACCAGACTGACTCTGTGTAATGGTTTTTGCTCACAGCAACCCTCGTCGTCCTCTTCCAGGGTCCCCCCACCAGTAATCCTGGCTCTTCCTCTTCAGCAAGTGCCCCCATAGAGAGCAGCTTTCTATGGAGACACTTGTGGGGGCTTGTTCCTGACCTGCCCTGTCTGCGTCTATTGACACAGACCGGGTGACTCAGCCTTACCCCCAGCTTCCTCATCACAGCCTTTGATTGACAACAACAAGCGACAATGGCTCCCGCTGCTATGAGTCTGCTCTGTGAGGAGGGAGAGAGCGGAGAAAGCCACTGCTGCCATGCACATCGCTGGATTGAGAGTGGGCTCAGGTAAATATAAGAGGGGACTGGAGCTATAGCCGGTAATGACATTTAATGCATAGAATGCATTAAGGCAAGAAAAAAAAAACTTAAGGCTTTAGAGCCACTTTCAGATAAGGACCAAGAAAACATTTCCTATCCTTCACCTTTGATTATCAGCCCCGTCCCCATTAACCTCCCTAGTGGTCTGATTATGTCCATATTTCTGTGCTCAAAGCGGTACATTTTTTTGCATGGAAATATGTATTTTTTTTATTGTAGGTCTGTAATTTTTAGGAATAACTCCCTGAAATCTGTCCGAACAAGAGTCTAGAAAACATCCCGGGTAGGATAAAACTTAACACACGAAATCATAAATTATAATTTAATAATCATAAAAAAATAATATAATAATAAATGTAGTTCAATAATATAATCAAACCAAAAAACACTGAAATGTGAAATATAGCGCCAAGTTCGCACATCGCTGAGCTCAGTCGCAGAATCGTTTTCAGTGTCTGATGAGGAATTTCCCCCACCAATCATTATCACTCAATTCTGCAAGTGGTTCTGATTTACTATCGCTGTTCTCTAGCCGGTCTAAAACCGCGTCTGACCTAAAGGGACGCTTTTTGGACGCCATGGACGTTTCTCAGTTTCCAGGCAGAAAGAACAGTAAGAATGCAGGCAGGGCGCCGGACAAAGCACTCGGGACAAAATGTATGTGAAATGGTTTGATACAGGAATGTTATACTATGTGATTTTAGTGTATTTAGTGAATGTCAGTTTTTGTCATTTTCAAATTTCCCGCCAGTTCCGTCCCCCTATACGTCCCGACGTCGCAGGGAACGGAACACGGAAGACGGATGCCAGCATCGGCCGGAGGACATCGGCCGGGGACACTGCAGGGGGGACATCGCGGGAGAGCGCAGGACAAGGTAAGTGATCGAGGGATCATGGAGCAGTGTCGCATGGTAAGCCCGAGTGTAGCTCGGGGTTACCGCTTGTGGTACTGAAACTTTACCCCGAGCTACACTCGGGAATACCGCCAGGGGGGTTAACTACAAGAAAAGGGAACGAACGTTTCAAAAACTGTTTTCGAAATAAATCCTAACAGCGTATGGCCAAGTTTGAGCCATTTATTTTGTTGGGTGAAGGGCTAAGACGGCATGTTGGACAGTGGGAGAACCAGACTGCTGCATGTGAACGCAATGGCCTGGATCTTCAGCGTGCTACCAGTTCAGGAGAATTTGATATATGGACAGAGTATTAGCAAAAAAAAAAGAAAAAAAGAAGACAATCCAATAATTCAAAAGAAACACTGAAAGAAAAGTACACAGCAGTTGATTATTTGCATTCTTAGGAGCGGAGTAGCAGTCAACCTAAAGGAAAAAGAAGGTGCAAGTTGTGTCCAATGGGTGTCCAGGAACAGGCAACATATTTCGAGGGTTAACCTTTTTGTCATGTTTCAAGGGTTAACTGCCTTCTCAAATATTAAGAAATAAGCTAACCCTAGAACTGTGTTGCGTGTTTCCTGGACACCTATTGGATACAGCTTGCTCCTCCCTTCATTCTTCAGGGAAGAACTAGTTGGCTGCAGTGGTCAAACTAGTTCCTCCTTGAGGGAAAAAGGGTGCAAGCTCTGTCCAATGGGTGCCCAGCAGCAGGCAATGCATTTTGATGGTTAAACTCTCAGGACTTAAGAAAGAGGTTAACCCTCAAAACGTGTTGCCTGAGAAAGAGGCTAACCTTCGAATTATATTGCTTGTTCCCTGGACAACCATTGGACACAGGTTTCACCTTCACTTTTCCTTTCAGGAAGAACTAGTTAGTAGCAGTGGTCAAACTAGTTCCTCCTGGAGGAAAAAAAAAAGGGCGCAAGCTGTGTCCAATGGGTGCCCAGGGAACAGACAATGCGTTTTTATGGTTAAACTCTTTCTTGAGACTTGAGAAAAAGGTTAACCTTTGAAAAGTGTTGCCTGAGGAAGAGGTTAAACCCTGGAAACATGTTGCCTGTTCCCTGAACACCCATTGGACACCTTTTTCCTTCAGGGAAGAACTAGTTGGCTGCAGTGGTCAAAGTAGTTCCTCCTTGAGGTTAATTAAAAAAAAAAAAAAGGGTGCAAGCTGTGTCCAATCGGGGTCCAGGAGAAGGCAATGCATTTTGATGGTTAAACACCCGAGACGTGAGAAGAGGTAAAGACCCGAGACGTGAGAAGAGGTAAACACCCGAGACGTGAGAAGAGGTAAACACCCGAGACGTGAGAAGAGGTAAACACCCCGAGACGTGAGAAGAGGTAAACACCCGAGACGTGAGAAGAGGTAAACACCCGAGACTTGTGAGAAGAGGTAAAACACCCGAGACTTGAGAAGAGGTAAACACCCGAGACTTGAGAAGAGGTAAACACCCGAGACTTGAGAAGAGGTAACACACCCGAGACGTGAGAAGAGGTAAAACCCGAGACGTGAGAAGAGGTAAACACCCGAGACGTGAGAAGAGGTAAACACCGAGACGTGAGAAGAGGTAAACCCGAGACGTGAGAAGAGGTAAACACCCGAGACGTGAGAAGAGGTAAACACCCGAGACTTGAGAAGAGGTAAACACCCCAGACTTGAGAAGAGGTAAACACCCCAGACTTGAGAAGGGTAAACACCCGAGACGTGGACAGAGGTAAGCCCTTGAGAAGAGGTAACACCCGAGACTTGAGAAGAGGTAAACACCCAAGATTTGAGGGAAGAGGTAAACACTACCCGAGAAGAGGTAAACACCCTGAGACGTGAGAAGGGGTAAACACCCGAGACTTGAGAAGAGGTAAACACCACCCGAGACTTGAGAAGACCGAGACTTGAGAAGAGGTAAACACCCGAGACTTGAGAAGAGGTAAACACCCGAGACGAGGTAAACACTCGAAAAGTGTTGCCTAAAAAAGAGTTAACCCTGGAAACATATTGCCTGTTCCCCTGGGCACCCATTGGACACAGCTTTCTTCTTCCTTTTTTCCTTCAGGGGAAGAAATAGTCAGCAGCAGTGGTCAAACTAGTTCCTCCTTGAGGTAAAAAAGGGTAAAAGCTGTGTCCAATGGGTGCCCGGGGAACAGGCAATGTGTTTCGAATGTTAAACCTTTCTTGAGACTTGAGAAAGAGGTTGACCCTCAAAAGGTGTTGCCTGAGAAAAGAGATTGAACCCGGGAAACACATTGCTTGTTCTCCCATCGGACACAGTTTGCACCCCTTTTTCCTTCAAGGTAGAACCAGTTGAGCGCAGCTTCCAAACATCAGGACAGCACCAGAAGATCGCGATCCAGCAGAATTAACAGCTGCAAGAAGACCTTCCAAGTCTCACTACAGACCAAGGCATGGGCACTACAACTGAACTGCCTCCCTCTGGCCTGATGAGCACCATTCAAGCTGCCAAAAAATATGGGTTGCCACTTCGATTGCATTTAATAAATGTTACCCAATTTTATTGCTCTTTTTAAGCAGCCTGACTGCATCATACCGAAAAAAAAAAAAAAAAATCTTCAGCTGGACTTTCACTTAATTAAATTTTTTTGTAGGCTGGAATAGAGACAGTTAATGTACACCACCAATTAAGCAAGGGAAAAACAAAAAAGAGACACGATTCCTCTATGATTATATCGGACAGCCATTAATAATCTCTGTCAATACAACGGATGAATCGTTTTTGAACGGATTTGAGACGGGGAAAACAATACGAGAAAGTTTACCGTGGTTACCAAACACTCAGTACGTCGTTATAAAATCTTGGTGGTGACGTCGGTCCGTCTGAGTACTGCGGCTGCTATATGAGAGCAGGGCCACTTCAAGTCAAAGTATGGAACTTATTCCCAGAATGGTTCACGCATGAGGCGATATACCAAATAAAACAAAAACAAAAGGAAAAGCGACGCACACTTCCGGAATTTCAGCAGCCGATGGGAAAATCTAAGCTGATACAGGTGCCGATAGGGGGCTGTGTGTACTGCATATGGGGCGTATAATGGCAGGAGAGGAGCAGTGTATATAGTGGGATTCTGCTAAATGTCACTGACTGGTTTTTAAAAAAGTCACTGCCGACTTTTTTTTCCCTTCGCTATAGCTCCAAGAATGAGCTGTCATTCTCTCCCCCGCTAAAGGAAACTAAGGGCGGGGTCACTGAGTAATGTCATTGGTGACCCCGCCCCTTACTGGCGCTGGGAATAACAGCTCATTGTTGGAACTATAGTGAAGGGAAGAAAAGTTGGTAATTAACATTTAAAAAACCGCAGTGACATAGGGGCAGCCACTGAGGGAGCCTGAGTGTATACATTACACTGCTACCTCACTACAAACACTGCTCCCTCACTGTAAAACACTGCCCCCCTCACTATACTCACTGCTCCATCACCGTACACACTGCCCCCACTCATATACTCACTGCCCCCTCACTTGTACACACTGCCCCCTCACCGTACACACTGCCCCCCTCACCGTACACACTTGCCCTCACCGTACACTCCTGCCTCCTAACCGTACACACTGCCCCCTCACCGTACCACACTGCCGCCCTCACCGGTGGAGAGGGACTAGTGAGTGCGGGGAGGTTGACTGAGAGCGGATATAGTGAAATGCACCGTACACAGACGCGGATAGTCGTAGTGACACACAGCCCCGGGGAGAGCGGATATAGTGAATGCAGGGTCCGGGGACTTGAGAGCGGATATAGTGAATGCGGGTCCGGGAGAGGGGATATAGTGAATGCGGGGTCCGGGGAGAGAGCGGATATAGTGAATGCAGGGTCCGGGGAGCGAGTGAAAGCCAGGAAGTCGGTTGCGGAGAGCGGATATAGTGAATGCAGGGTCCGGGGAGAGCGGATATAGTAGTGAATGCAGGGTCGGGGGAGAGCGGATATAGTGAATGCAGGGTCGGGGAGAGCGGATATAGTGAATGCAGGGTCCGGGGAGAGCGGATATATAGTGAATGCAGGGTCCGGGGAGAGCGGATATAGTGAATGCAGGGTCGGGGAGAGGATATAGCGAATGCAGAGGGCGAGAGCGGATATAGTGAATGCGGGGTCCGGGGGAGAGCGGATATAGTGAATGCGGGGTCCGGGGAGAGCGGATATAGTGAATGCGGGGCAATCCGGAGGAGCGGATGATGTGAATGCAGGGGGTCCGGGGAGAGCGGATATAGTGAATGCGGGGTCCGGGAGAGAGCGGATATAGTGAATGCAGGGGTCCGGGGAGAGCGGGGTCGGGTGAGGAGCGGATATAGTGAATGCAGGGTCCGGGGAGAGTGATATAGTGAATGCGGGTCCGGGTAGTGAGAGCCGGGGTGGGTTGAGGGGGATATAGTGAATGCAGGGGTCCGGGGAGAGCGGATATAGTGAATGCGGGGTCCGGGGAGAGCGGATATAGTGAATGCGGGTCCGGGGAGAGCGGATATAGTGAATGAATGGGTCCGGGGAGAGCTGGATATAGTGAATGCAAGGGTGGGGGAGAGCGGATATAGTGAATGCAGGGTCCGGGGAGAGCGGATATAGTGAATGCAGGGTGTAGGAGAGAGCGGATATATAGTGAATGCAGGGTCCGGGGAGAGTGAATTGCGGATATATAGTGAATGCGGGGTCCGGGGGAGAGCGGATATAGTGAAGGGTCGGGGTCCGGGCAGGGTCGGGGAGAGCGGATATAGTGAATGCGGGGGTCCGGGAGAGCGGATATAGTGAATGCGGGGTCCGGGGACGAGCGGATATATAGTGAATGCGGGGTCCGGGAGAGCGGATATAGTGAATGCCGGGTCCGGGGAGAGAGGCGGATATAGTGAATGCAGGGGTCCGGGGAGAGCGGATATAGTGAATGCAGGGTCCGGGGAGAGCGGATATAGTGAATGCGGGGGGAGAGCGGGGATATAGTGAATGATCCTCGAGAGCGGATAGTGAATGCGGGGTCCGGGGGGAGAGCGGATATATGAATGCGGGGTCCGGGGAGAGCGGATATAGTGAATGCGGGGTCCGGGGAGAGCGGATATAGTGAATGCAGGGTCCGGGGAGAGCGGATATAGTGAATGCAGGGTCCGGGGAGAGCGGATATAGTGAATGCGGGGTCCGGGGAGAGCGGATATAGTGAATGCAGGGTCCGGGGAGAGCGGATATAGTGAATGCAGGGTCCGGGGAGAGCGGATATAGTGAATGCAGGGTCCGGGAGAGGACGTGATGAGAGCGGGTCCGGGGAGGTCGGTATAGTGAATGCAGGGTCCGGGGAGAGCGGATATAGTGAATGCAGGGTCCGGGGAGAGCGGATATAGCGAATGCAGAGCAGGGAGAGAGCGGATATAGTGAATGCGGGGTCCGGGGAGAGCGGATATAGTGAATGCGGGGTCCGGGGAGAGCGGATATAGTGAATGCAGGGTCCTGGATTTAGTAACACTTTAATTACTGCATTACAATTTAACTAAACCTATTTGATTTTAGCCGACTAACTGAAAACTGCAATTGATTCTCGTCATAGTTCTTGCCAATTGATTTAATTCTAATGTTAGTTTAGATTTCGTCAATGAAAACATGCAGCTGCCGAAAATATTTTCCTCGAGGAAATGAACACTAACTGAAGGGGAGGCCGGAGGGAGGATTTAAACAAGGACAGGGCTATACATGGGAAGGGAAAGGATATAATTGGATAATGAAAGGCTGAACATTATACAGAGTAAGGATCATGGCCCCTATAGCAGCGATAGGGAACTGTAACTCTAACCGGGTGACAACGCTGTCACGTCTCAGAGACTGAACACACAAACGCGATCCGGTTTCCATTGGCCTTTAGCTATATTCTATTTTCCGAACACAGATAAAGAACACGCAGGATTAACAACGGTCTTGTTTTCCTCCCGTCAACTTCACTATCCCTGGGAAACTGTCAACCTGTGAAGCGCGAGGAGGCGCGAATCAAAGCGAAGTACGGGATGGTGTGTCATTACTGCGTCAGCCAGACAGCAGATCTCACCGACGACAGATAGAAACCAAAGCCTGACATTACAAGCCGGTAATTAACACGTTTATTTAGCGGATGAAAATGTTGCAGCTGAAATCCATGATTATCATTCTGTTTCAGACTTCAGACCCCTCAATTATCAGGAGAAAAGGCAGCCAAAAAAAATAATCAAATATTTGGTGAGAGATAAACGTGTTTTCATAGGTTTTCTCACATTTAGAGAGACGCTGCGGGTGACAGATAGGGAGCCAAAAAAAATGAGCGCTCTGAATTGGCACGAGCCGCCATCTTACACTGACCAATGTGCAGGTGGGGAAAAAAAAAAAGAAAAGTGTTCTAATTTTGCACCCATGAAAGGATTTTTAAAGTGGTGTTAAACCCAAAACCAAAAATGTAATATTATTGCAGCTTACCAATATCAGATGTGGTGGCTGCATTAGTTTTAGATTTTATTCCCTCTTTTTTCACCTGGTGATCTAGTAACACACCTGTATTAGAGCGCTCCAACTCTGGATGAAGGAGCACAGCAGCATTGTCAGTCTGGGGGAAGGGGATGCAGTGAAAGATGTACTAGCAGATTTATATACACTAACAAATTGAAGCCAAACTCCAAGCTCACTGTAAATGAGCCGTTACAGCAAACAGTTTATTCCTTCTGGGATAAAGGTTTTACATAAATAAATAAAAGCTGATCATTTTAAGCACCCGTGTCAGTGGTAAATGGTTTGTCCCAGCCTTCTAACAGCTGTATCTGTGGGAACACTTGTTCTGTTGAAAAACAACAGACTTCCTAACAGAATCACCAAGTAAAAAGAAAGAAAAGAAAAATAAAACTAATGCAGCCACCACATCTAATGATAGGTAAGCTACGATATAATGTTTGCTGTTGGGTTTATACCACTTAAAGCGGAGTTCCAGCTGAAAAAAAATAAATAAAAGTCAGCAGCTACAAAAAAATTGTAGCTGCAGACTTTTAAAATACAGACACTTACCTGTCTCTCAGTCCAGCGGTGTCCTCAAAACCGCTGGTTTCACCAGCCGTCTTCTCGCCCAGCGCCGGCATCTTCAGTGTTGGCACCTGGCTGTGATAGTTTGCGGCTTCACAGCTGGGTGCCCACTGCGCATGCGCGAGTAGCATTGGGCTTTGTGAATGGTCCTGTAGTGTCCTGTGACCTGTCACGTGTCCCAGAAGACTACGGGGAGGGAGGGGGTGGGGGAAATCAAGGACAACTTCCACTTCCGATCGCCAAGCAATCGCAGCGGAAGTGGGAGCGGGTACCTGTCAAAACCACTCCCCCCCCCCCCCCCCTCCCCCAAAGGTGCCAATTCTTAATGGGGAGCAGGGGACTAAGCATTAAAGCGGAACTTCCCATTTTGGGTGGAGCTCCGCTTTAAGGGCCAGTTCACACTCTGGGCGTTTCAGTTGCTTTTTTTCTGCATCCAAAACACACAGAAAGTAGGTTGTATGATTGTCAATGTCATAGTTCACACCAGTGCTTGCATTTCCAGTTGCAGAAAAACAAAAAGTAAAACAGGCTGCATTTTTCCTGCAGAGAACTGTATTGGAACACAGTAAAATGCATCAAAAAAACACCGGGAACGCACTGGAATGCACATGTCCCTATTTAAATAGAAGAAATAGAGACGCATCAAAAAAGCCCACGTTCCTATTTAAATCGAAGAAAAAAGACGGGAAAAATGAACTGGAATGCATTAACTGGAATGCATAAAAAACGCACTGGAACGGCAAAAATAACACATCAAAAAAACATGCATACAGAAACGCATCTGGACTGCGTTTCTATAGTGTGAACCGGCCCTTAAAATGATTCAAAAGGCTCTGGTTTTATTTCTTAAAAAACATGTCATACTTACCTGCTCTGTGTAATGGTTTTGCACAGAGCATCCCCGATCCTCATCTTCTAGGGTCGCCCGCTGGTGCTCCGATTCCCCCACCCCCACTGAGTGCCTCCTAAACTCATAAGACACACAGAGCGCAGCTCGCCCCCACCCCGTCTTCACTGGCTGTGACTGACAGCAATGCCAATGGCTCCCGCTGCTGTGTGTGAGCCAATGAGGGGAGAGAGAGAAGAGCCTCTGCTCTCATGCACAGCGCTGGGTCAAGGTCGGGCTCAGGTAAGTATTGGGGAGAGCTGCATGTAGAAAGTTTTTTATCTTTACGCAGAAAATGCATTAAGATAAAAATACCCTTTTACCTTTAGAACCATTTCTGTGTATATAGCCTAGATTGTAAGCTCCCAGGATCAGGCCCTCCTATCCCTCTTGTATTGAACTGTATTGTTGCTGTATTGTCTCCCACCATAATGTAAAGTGCTGAGCAAACTGTTGGCGCCATAAATCCTGTATAATAATAATAATAATATAGCGGAACACAAGAGAAGAAATGCCCCGACCGATGTAGATGTGAAGATATACTTGTTCATGCCGTTGACGTGTTTTGTGACCACTTGTCACTTCCTGAGATAGAAGGTAAGTGACACGATTCCCTGGTACAGACACACTCGCCCCTGAGCGCTCGGCATCCATTCTACCAGCTGAGGCCTCATGCACAATGGACATTTAGCCCCTTTGAAGGATGAAGCTCTGGTGTTTAGGTGCGGGTGGGAGGAACAGGCCCACCCTCCAGCCCCGCTGCCAGCAGCCTGTCAGATTCGATGACACAGCTGAACGGAGCACCAAGCGGTACTTATATGTAGTGCCGTATGTCCCCAGGAATGAATGCCCAGAATGCAGTCTGATGATTTTTCTCTTTGATTCTCTATTTCTGCTGCATTTTTTTTTATAATCAGCAATTTAGCAGCTAACAATTTCAGTCTTTTTCCAAACAGACCTCATGCAGGGTCCCATCAAAGCTCAACTAACGGGAAAGTAAAAGTAAAAAAAAAAAAGTAGGACTGTCCTGCATTGCAAGGGGTAAATGATCCAGAGGACTTATCCGATCCTCTGTCTTCCCGACACTTCTCTACGCTTTATTGGAGACTTATCCGATCCTCTGTCTTCCCGACACTCCCCTACGCTTTATTGGGAACTTATCCGATCCTCTGTCTTCCCGACACTTCCTACGCTTTATTGGAGACTTATCCGATCCTCTGTCTTCCTGACACTCCCCTACGCTTTACTTGGTGACTTGTCCCGATCCTCTGTCTTCCCGACACTTCCCTACGCTTTATTGGGGACTTATCCGATCCTCTGTATTCCCGACACTTCCCTACGCTTTATTGGGGACTTATCCGATCCTCTGTATTCCCGACACTTCCGTACGTATTGGGGACTTATTGGGGACCTTATGTCTTCCCGACACTCCTCTGTATTGGGGACTTCCCGATCCTCACTTCCCGACACGCTTTATTGGGGACTTATCCGATCCTCTGTCTTCCCGACACTTCCCTACGCTTTATTCTTGACTTATCCGATCCTCTGTCTTCCCGACACTTCCTCTGTCTACGCTTTATTGGGGACTTATCCGATCCTCTGTATTCCCGACACTTCTGTCTACGCTTTATTGGGGACTTATCCGATCCTCTGTCTTCCCGACACTTCTCTACGTTTTATTGGGGACTTATCTGATCCTCTGTCTTCCCGACACTTCTCTACGTTTTATTGGGGACTTATCGATCCTCTGTCTTCCCAACACTTCTAACTACGCTTTATTGGTGACTTATCCGATCCTCTGTCTTCCCGACACTTCCATCTACGCTTTATTGGGGACTTATCCGATCCTCTGCCTTCCCGACACTTCTCTACGCTTTATTGGAGACTTATCCGATCCTCTGTCTTCCCGACACTTCTCTACGCTTTATTGGAGACTTATCTGATCCTCTGTCTTCCCAACACTTC